ACATTGCGAAATAAGGGATTTTGTTAACAAAGGGCGAGGCGGGCTCTTACAATGGCAAAAGCAAGAGGTGCTTGAAAATAACTTGCTGCCAAATAATTCAGATCAAATAAGTTATTGGTTTTGTCCTATATAGGTAATGCCCTATTTTTAGATTTGTCTAATAGTTGTAGCGGACAAACCTTCAGATATGATCTGATTATGTCAAATTAGTTTTACTTCACATTCATTATCTCTCATCAGGGTAACTGGGGATGATTAATCACCGGCGAGATTTGCAAATCCTCTTATATAAAATCCTTGTTGTTTTCGAAGTAAAGTGATGAAAAATAAAAACGTTCTAACACACGTTTCAAAAAATAGTCCCACTTATATTTTGCAAAATCCCTTTTTAAAATTTGATCTGCATTTTAATTTGAATATTAAGAGGACAATATTCAAAATTACAAATTATGAATGATGTTTTAATCCCTCTCGGTATCGCAATGGTTCGCAATTCCAGCACTATTAAATTTAAATTTTAGATCCAGATAACTCGGATACGGCCAAACTTTCGCAAATATTCCATAGGTTAGCAAATTATAGAATGTTCGAAGCCGAATAAACGGCGCATTTGAGCGACTAGATGCGTTCTGTACATAGAAGATAACGGGGCGTTCCAGTGAATGGGAAATGCCGCTCTCATGCTATGAAAATAACACGAAGGGTGACTCTCAATACAACAATAAGGAGCTTACATCAAAATTTTTGCACTGATTTTCATCATCCAGCACTTATGTCAGTTGGGGCACATATGCTTGCGTGCACGAACTTCTTACAACAATTAATTTTGCTAGAACATTAAAATTGAAGCATTAGTTGCTGGTGTTTTTTCTTTTTTTCTTTTCGGCGTCCCCAAAGGCTGTAAAAAGCATTTTTGTAAGACATCTAAGTAGCATCTACAAATAATTTGTGGATTATATTTTTTGAACACATTTTGGTACGATTTACCGTCCCCTCACCAATTTGAACATTTAAAGGCATTACAACACGATCAGTGATAGTTCAATTGTATTGCCATGCCAAGTTCAGGTTTTAGACGGTACTACAGTTGTTTTCTTCAAGCTTCTACTGGGTCTGTCCAAAATGAAATTTCACTCATATTCAATTAATTATATACGATAGTCTGCTACAAGATCTTTTTAACAATAGAAATTACATTGTGATTAATTAATGTATATTTTTTGCTTAGAACCAAAGTCGAAATTGGTCTTACATACATTTTTTTAACAAATTATTCCAGCTTGCAGAACAAATTATAAATTTAAGAAGAATTTGTTCCACTCTCGTCTGTACTTAAGAAAGAGTGGATGTTTACGTGTTCAATGCGGCGAAGAACGCAGGTTTTCTGCAAATTATCCCAGAAGCCGAAATTCATAATACTAGCATATTAATGGTATACTGACATATAAAGGATGCATGAAAATGATAAATGAAAACTATAATATTGATCAAACTTGAATACAAATAATACAGAACATATAATCCGTGTGTTCCATAAGCTCTTGCCTTTACTTGTAGCATCGGATTCAAGATTCGGAGCCTTACTCCGAGTTGGATAAATAAACAAAGAAAAAGTACATCACATGCTTCAATGAGGTCACGTCAATGGTGACTTGAAACTAATTATTGATTAAAAATTAATTATAAAACCAATTATTGTATTACGATCTTTAACACTGCGCCCGGTGTTTTGATCTCATCGAATACTTTTTTAAAGTTACTTCAATTATGAAGCATAGACGAGGAAAGAGTTCCTATAGGAATGAATTTAAAATAAAATAATGGCGACTTGCATGATATCTATAAACAATATTCAACTAGTAATCATATAATATAATTAGTTTTTATATTGATTCTAGCTTGACTATTGATTTTTCCATTGAGTTCTAAAACAGACAAAAAAAAAATTGCAAAGCATTTCATTTTACCTTGGATTTCGTTTTTCCTTTCTAACAAATACCTCTCCAATATTTCCCCGTACTGATACACAAAATTTACCGTCAGATGAACTCCAACTCCACACTGTTGGAGTTCAGGCAGGAAATGGCGCTGCTCAGGAAATTGCATTACAAACAATTAGTAGGAATTAGCGACGTCAGCCAGCGTTCGGTCGGTGGACTGAAGGCACCAAATGCCGAGTATTAATCAACATCAGAGACCAACTAAGCGAACAGGGGACATACGTCAAATATATTGTAATAGAATGAGTTCTATAGCAAAGACTGTTACGTCATGTCAGCGTTACGAACATATGCATTTTAATAACATGAAAAATGTATTGTTAGAATACTAATGGAAAAGGTTGGTAGACTAATGAAGATTGTTAGCAGACTAATGGAGATTGTTAGCAGACTAATGGTGATTGTTGGTTGACTAGTGAAGATTGTTAGCAGACTTATCGTGATTGTTGGTTGACTAGTGAAGATTGTTAGCAGACTAATCGTGATTGTTGGTTGACTAGTAAAGATTGTTAGTTGACTGGTGAAGATTGTTAGAAGACTAATGAAGATTGCTATCAGACTAATGGTGATTGTTGGTTGTCTAGTGAAGATTCTTAGCAGACTAATAGAGATTGTTGGTAGACTAATGATGATTGTTGGTTGATTAATGAAGATTGTTAGAAAGCCTAATGGTGATTGTTGGTTGACAAGTAAAGATTGTTAGCAGACCAATGAAGATTGTTAGCATACTAATGGTGATTGTTATTTGACTATTAAAAATTGTTAGCAGACTAATAAAGATTGTTATCAGACTAATGGTGATTGTTGGATGACTAGTAAGGATTGTTAGCAGAATAATGTAAATTGTTATCAGACTAATGGTGATCGTTGGTTGACTAGTAAAGATTGTTAGCAGACTAATGAAGATTGTTATCAGACTAATGGTGATTGTTGTTTGACTAGTAAAGATTGTTAGCAGACTAATGATGATTGCTAGCAGACTAATTAAGATTGTTATCAGAGTTATGTTGATTGTTGGTTGACTAGTAAAGATTGTTAGCAGACTAATGAAGATTGTTATCAGACTAATGGTGATTGTTGGTTGACTAGTAAAGATTGTTAGCAGACTGATGAAGATTTTTATCAGGCTAATGGTGATTGTTGTTTGACTAGTAAAGATTTTTAGCAGACTAATGAAGATTGTTAGCAGACTAATTAAAATTGTTATCAAACTTATGGTGATTGTTGGTTGACTAGTGAAGATTGTTTGTTGGTTGACTTGTGGGTATTGTCAGCAAACACATGAAGAGGGTTGATGATCGTAAGGAAATTGATCCTATAAAGCTATACGAATTCTATATTAACGAATTTTGTAGATGATTATAATTAATCATATACGGTATGATTATAATTAATCTCGTTACGTTCATTTTAGTTAAAAAACTTCAACGAGTGAGTTATTATTGGGCGCTATGTCTATTAATTATAAATTAATTTTATTTGATTAGATACAAATTTTAACCCTTTAATTTTTTTGACTATATTTTACCCTGCATTCGCCAGATTTCTGATGAGCGTCAATTTTTACATAATTTTCAAGTTATTCCGAATGAAGAAACGAAATTTTGTCTGAGAGTAAGACTAGGCTGAAAGCAACACAAATGTTGCAGTATTGAATATTCCAAGTCATTGGTTGTGAAAGCAAAGGTTGTGAACGTCATGGTCGCGCACTCGAAAGCTGTGAAAGCAAAGGTTGTGAACGCCATGGTCGTGAACTCGAAAGCGGTGAAAGCGAAGGTTGTGAACGTCATGGTCGCGAACTCGAAAGCTGTGAAAGCGAAGGTTGTGAACGTCATGGTCGCGAACTCGAAAGCTGTGAAAGCGAAGGTTGTGAACGCCATGGTCGTGAACTCGAAAGCTGTGAAAGCGAAGGTTGTGAACGTCATGGTCGCGAACTCGAAGGCTGTGAAAGAGAAGGTTGTGAACGCCATGGTCGTGAACTCGAAGGCTGTGAAAGAGAAGGTTGTGAACGTCATGGTTGTGAACTCGAAGGCTGTGAAAGAGAAGGTTGTGAACGTCATGGTTGTGAACTCGAAGGCTGTGAAAGAGAAGGTTGTGAACGCCATGGTCGTGAACTTGAAGGCTGTGAAAGAGAAGGTTGTGAACGTCATGGTTGTGAACTCGAAGGCTGTGAAAGAGAAGGTTGTGAACTTCATGGTTGTGAACTCGAAATCTGTGGAAGCGAAGCTTTTGAACGCAAATGTTGTGAACGCGAAAGTTGCAAGCGCTAAAGTTGTGAACGCCAAGAGTATAAACACGGGCAATGAAGTCCATCATTTTTCTTAAAAACATTTATTAAACATGAACATTGATAAATTCCAAAAAGAGTTTGATTAACTGGAAAATTTATAGGCAAGTCTTATCTAGAGTAATTGCAATAGTGAAATATTCAACGATGGAAACGAGGCTGAGAATTTTCTGAATAATTTTTATGGTGGAACAGAAATGTAATATTTACAAAGCCGTACTGAATTTACTATAGGTTTGAAAATTTTTGAAAAAAAAAAATAAATTCCGAATTTTTTTGTCAATATTGCGATATACAGTATATCCCTTTTAAAATTCGGGGAATTATTATGAAAACACAATTCTTTTCTTTATAATATCATTCACAATATTAATTCAATCGTTTAAAATCGGCTATAACGCCTGATTACATGCCTACTCCACAAATTGAACTATTTCGTCATTTTTTTGGCAATTCACGGTTATAATTTGAATTTCCCACTTACAAAATATATCCCATCGCTTCAGAGATTGATATATGCAGTGTACCCACAACAAAATATCTGTTTTTATGAGTATTCAGTCTTCTGTTATGTATTGCGGAGCGTTTCTATGAAACGAGCCGCAATAAAATAAAAAAATTGATCCGTAGTTTGCATAGCGGTCTTTCTTTTCTTTCTAATTTATTCTTATAGGAGCACTGGAAGCTAGTCCATATGCCTAAACTGGGTTTAATTGGTACCTAACAGTCAGTAAAACGTGGTAAAGGGAACAGTGAAAATTCCTGCATAGCGGTCGAGTTTTAGAGAGAATTAATATTAATTTAAGATAAGAATTCGGACTATGGATATAGTAAGCAGATATATTGTTGTGAGATTTATTAATTAAACTCATAGTAAAATTTCCTTGGTAATGAAGATGGAAGTTCTCTCAATTAGTTCAATTTTAACAGCACCATTAAAGGAAGAAGAAATACAGCCGATCGTTCTCAAGTTAGATCAAACAAATTGTGACTTTCCTTTTATGTCATTAATAAAATGATACAATATTACTTAAATATTATAATGAGCAAAGAAGCACAAAAATACTCCGAGTTTTCCAATAAACTTTGATCGAACCTTTCGTAAAAAGATGAACATATTTCCATTCCATTATAAAGATGAGTATTAAGCATAGATATTTTCATTTATTTATAAATATCGCTGGTGATATGTGTTCATGTGCTGCCACAAGATCACTCCATGAAAAATATGATACGCAAAAGGATCTTATTTATATTTAAGGATAATGAAGACTTAAAATTACACTATAGAAAATCACTCTGATAAAAAAATTGATACGTTCGAAAGATTGACATGTCCGGATATTTGAACCGGCATAGGGGTTGAGAGAACGGGTAAAATATGTACAAAATATTTCATTCGGATATTATGAACTAATTTCTGTACAATATTCATTCAAATATCAGTTGCCGACACGTGTCATCTTAGAACACATGTGCAGTTCATGTAAAATTTACTCGTTATTGAATAAGTTATTTTATCTAATATTGAATACACTAACAATAAGAACGAGGTGAATATATTAATCTTGACGAATCTACTTATATAAGAAACGAGTGCCCCATATGTTATGCCACTATAATTATTGGGAGTATTATTGGACTATAACATTGGCACGCGAAATTGCCGGCGAAAATTCTATTTATATCCGACGTGGGGTTGCGTGGTGGCAGCAAAAATTCTATCACTTAATTTGTCATCAAATGGAAGCTTCATCAAATAATTTGAATTTTTATTGGCACGAGGAAGCTTGTCATTTTAGTTGCCATTTGTCACGCCCGAAATTCAATTAGATCAGAAGAGCCAAATGTAAACTAAATAATTTCATAAATTATTTACCACGTTTCAAATCTTCAGTTGAATGTAGAATAATTTCACCATAAGCGTGTGCTATCAAATTAGCGTGCAAAGAAAATACCGAATAATTTTTATAATATCATTAATTGTTCTATAAGAATTGTGAGAGCTTCTTAACATAAAATGTCACGACCAATGTATATTTTTTCCGTGAGTTAATTGGTACATTGAATACTCAGAACACGTACAACAAATATGCATTTTTTGCTTATGTTTTAATTTATAATAATTTATTTGTCATAATACATGCATGAAATGAGCTGCCTGCAACTTTTGAATCTTCACGTGGGACAATTCATAAGGCTATTTCTTTGAGGGTGTGATGGAATCTGCAGTTGTTTGGTTACATTTGATGAGAGAAAATTGCGTTTTAATCATTTTCTTTTTACACTTAAAAAAATTAGGAAATCTAATAGCAAGTATATTTTTAAAACGCGAGAAAAGCATTTCGTATAAATTCATAACAAACTCCATATTGAACAACGATTTTATAGTATTTTTCATTATTACCCATATTAAAACAAATTTGGTTATTTCATGTAGTAATTTCTTAAGATTAATTAGACATCAACATATGTGAGTTATCAACATATCGCATTACGATTCTATCTAAAAAATTTTTGCGCTAAATATAATTGAACAATAGATGTAAATCCCTTATTTCTAACATTGGATGATAAAATGCATAAAAATATTTTTATAGACTCAGCAAAAGCTCGTTTAGGAAAGGAATAATTGCAGCGTCTCTAAAATTGTCTGATTTTCAAAATCTTTTCAATAAATATATACATAAACGGATTACCTTCTCTTTTTCTACTGACGGTATTTTTCGTACGGATAACATTAAGAACGGGTAGCAAAGCCGTGTAAAAAGGTCTCGTGTACATCAGAGTGAGATCTCGTGTACATCAGAGTGAGATCTTGTGTACATCAGAGTGAGATCTTGCGTACATCAGAGTGAGATCTCGTGTACATCAGCGTGAGATCTCGTGTACATCAGAGTGAGATCTCGTGTACATCAGATTGAGATCTCGTGTACATCAGATTGAGATCTCGTGTACATCAGAGTGAGATCTTGTGTACATCAGAAAGAGATCTTGTGTACATCAGAGTGAGATCTTGCGTACATCAGAGTGAGATCTCGTGTACATCAGATTGAGATCTCGTGTACATCAGAGTGAGATCTCGTGTACATCAGAGTGAGATCTCGTGTACATCAGAGCGAGATAATTATGTTTTACTTTCCATTACTGTCGAGAATTGCTGCACGAAAACGAATTTGGAGACGTGGAAATTCAGAGATTCACTTCAATACAAAAGGTCACACGCTGAAATACAATGACGCTATTCACTAAAAATCTGCACACGCTGAAATATAATGATCTACATTATACTGCATGTAAATCGGCAAAAGTTTCAATACATTACAATCACATCCACAATAAATCGGCAGATGCTGAAGTATAATGATCAACTTCACTTTGAATCTGCGAAGGCTCTAATGCAATTGTTTACTTCACAACATATTAAATGATCATATAGATCCAAAGAGAGATTAAATAAGTCGTATAAGTAGAGTACAGCTTTCATTGTATAAATTTATAAATTTATGTGCTCTCTATTGGTCACATTTCAGATCAATTTTGAGTTTAGCAGGTTCACAAGCAATCCATAAATTCATATACTGATGCAGGACACTTTATCGTTTGAAAAATAATGGCGTAAACAACTCAATCAGTATTTCCCTTGTTTATATGACCGATAAAAAAATTATATTGAAATCGACGTTCTATGTTGCAATACCTATGATTTTCCTCGCCGTTGATTAATAATTATTAATAATTAATTAGTAATTCTGTCCAGAAGTATTCATTCATGCAGGAAAATTATTTAATTTTAACGACTTTCAGCTGTTTGCAAGTTCTACATATGCTGTCGGTTGAAATACATGAAAAATGTGAAAATATTCTTCAATGTTGAGATTCATTCAATGATGAAAATCTAATGAAGAAATATTTAATACAGAAGGCGGAATGAAATTTGAAAATTTTCTGTGCAGTTAATAGCGGTGCACTTGAATTATTCTCGTCCATCATTGGAAGTAAGTGTGAAAATACCTGACCAGGCAAAAAATGGTAAAGCGAACGAGATTTCTACGATTTTCGGCGAATTGATTCGAATTTTTAATTGGCGCGAACTGAGGGAAAATGATTACTAAAAATAAGGCCTCTACAGACGAATATAGCAGTGAGTTCAATTTAATAATAAATAATTTAGCACAATACTATTAGCGGGAGTCAACACCCATTGAATTCATCTAAATTTTATAAATTCATCCAGAAGTTATATACAGAAATGCAATGAGTTATTCACATTTATATAAAAACTACTAAAGTTACACCAAGATCCAGTTCGATAATAATCTGAAAATCATTATTGAATCGATGAAATCAATCATATCGATGGAGAACTTTCACTTCTATTTAACATTTGCCTGTCCTCGCCAACAAGGTTGTGCTATAATGAAGCACTTTCGTTCAAAAGATCAATAACACATTTATGATTTACTCGTAATTAATCTACTTTTTCACACTTATAAAAATGTTCCCGAAGTCATTATCATGTTCTGGACAACGAAGAAAGGTTGGCAACGATGTAGACGTGTAAAAAAACGCACTACAATTCCAAAAGTACATTTCCAAAAAAGACATTTTGGAATTGAAATGGAAAATTATAATTGCATCGGCAGCATCCAATCGTGTGCCAAATTATCCTAAATTGGGGCAACAAATTTTAAAAGCTGATGTCGACAATATACATAATGAGAGAAGCCGGGGCCATCGCAGGGACACTTCTGTGAAAAAAATCCGCTTTGATCATCGACGATCAATTAGAAGCATGGTATGAATCCACGAGGCTACTCAATTCTAACTCTGATCATCAGTGTACAATTCAAATACTGATACAAAGCTCTTCAAATATTTTTGATAATTTGCAACTATTATTTTAGTTAAAAGTAGGGATAATACACCCGAAATCCCTCTTAATATAATTCCCATTCAAGTCTGGGCTTGAATGGGAGTCCAGAATTCATGCTAGAGATAATTATTAAGCTTCTCATGCTTGACAATTATGAATGAATCAATAATTTTCAAGCAATTTCAATATGAGCGATGCGACTCAATTTACAGCTGGGATCTGACGTCGGAGAGAGTCCAGTTATTGCAGAATGTATTAAAGCGAATGTTTTCTTCCATTAAAGCTTCTCAATTAGTTTGGATTTATTTCTAGCCTTGTGAGAAAAGTTATATCAATCGAATGAGCAGGATGATGGAGCCTCTATAAACTGTTACGCTAAAAAAATTTCTTCTCAGTATAACTTATTGCTGAGTTCAATACTAGCATGCAGATGCGAACAAAATTAAAGCACAAATGCTTGATGTTATTCCCGCGTCTCATTGGCAATGGGACCAAAGTTGTGCCTTCGAAAATCGTGAGTCAATCTCAAAATCAGACGTTCGTTTCCATCTCCCCAGTCATGGAGATGGAAGCCATGTGCCGTGTGCACACGTCAACTCACGACTGAATCTAATCGTCATCTTCCTCTGAATCGTCGTCGTCTGGCTGCTGGAAGCTGCTCTCTACGATCCTGAAGCACTCAAGGAACTCATTGAAGTCGATCTTGCCGTCCTTGTTGATGTCCATGGAGGCCGCGAGGTCGGCGATCTGCTCGCTGGGCAGCGAAGCGTGGCGCTCCAGAAGACCGCACGCGTCCCTGAACTCGTCCATGGTAATGTAGCCTGGTGAAATGTGGCCCGTTCAAATATATTTATAGTTGACTTGAATCGTAAGGCAACCAAGAATTCAAACAAAAATAAATCATCAAGTTAATGATCCACATCTTCATCCAAAACGCTTTGGAGACAAAAGGCATCGTCAGTTCAAGAAAACTCTTTAAGTATTGAAAAAGAAGTTTACCCATTGTATACGGGTATATTTACAATTTTGCAACGGCTTATCAAAAAAGTTTAGTAACGAGAGCTTACGTCAATATAAAAAAGTTAGGTGCGATAAGAGAGAAAAAACTTAGGTGCGATACGAGAGAAAAATGTTTTTTTTTGCAGTATAATTCGACGTTGCAGTATAATAATTCGAAGATTCACAGTCTATATTGTGCGTACGCTAAATTCGATGGACAATATTTTTTAAGAAAGTTTATAAAAAACATTAAAGTATAACATGGTTCTGTCCCCGTTTTGTGCCACTTTTGAAAGTAAGTTGAAATAATTTAGAATATTGCTTCCGTGTTAGAGAAAACTACGCTGAAAATGGCGAACGCCTTACTATTAAAAAATTAAGAATAACGCATACGTTGGCCAATATTTGCTGTAATTACCTGAGTTGTCCTTGTCGATGAGTCTGAAGATGGCTTCAAGGCTGCTCTTGTGGCGGTAGAGCGCCTCCACGACGCTCGGCCCATCCTAAATCAAAATTGTATGAATCAGAAGAAGGCTTTAAGCAATGATATTTAAATTTATGACACACATAATTTTGAGAAATGAATACTATAGCATATAGACGCATTCATTTGCTAAAAATAGAAACGAAGCAACTGATAGACAAGCAATAGAAATTGAATTAAACTATTCTCATACTATTGAGTATTAGTTTTATGTTGCACTGGTCGAGCTGTTACATTAGAGACAACCACAGGAAACTTGTTGAGAAGTCTAAAATATTCAACGGATAAAATATGCGAAAGAGAACGAAACAGCAGAAAACAATTTCGATGGAAAATTTTTGAAATTTTGTCAATTTAGATGATTACCAACAGTGAAAGTACTGCCATTCAATTATATGAAATGAAACGGTACAGTTTTACATTATGTAAAGATGTCATGAAGTACATTTTTATTCAGTTGCAAACAGAAAAAAGTGCTACAACAACTTGCAGGTTTCCCAAAATGAGAACATTAATGTACAAATTAAAGCACAATCAATTTAACCCTAAATTGATTCCTGACTTCGGAAGATTATAGTGAATACCGTAACCTGTAGTTATAGATACTGCACCTTAATAACATTTAGAAAGCTAATTTTGTGAGAATTATTAATGAAGTACATCAGCTTATTATCAGCGGGTTGCTAAATGTTCATGGCAGCAGAAAATTTCTTGCATATTTCCAGCAGAAATTCAATCCGGTTACTCATCCCCTGCGATAAATTATTAATAGATGACTTAATTTTCATAATTTTGTACATGCCGTCTTGCTGCATCAATAACTCCTAATATCGGATAATGGGTGTACGAAGCGATCACGTATTATGACGCCATTGACCTGAGAGTTGGAGCTTTTATCGGTCCTAAAGGTTGACTGGTAATCGACCAAGCCGGTCTTGGGATCGATGGCTACGAGTTTGTCCTTAAGAACCCTCCATGGCAGCTTGAGTTCGCTCGCCTGTTCCATCACCTCCACCCACTTGCGTGTCGTGATGAAGCCTGTCGAGGGGGCAATGAAAACAAGCTTTTAGAATTGGGTTAAAATGAAAGAAACTTGCCTGCCTGAACCCTGTGGAATATAAACTGTGACAAAGAGAGGAGAACTGATAAATAATATGAATAAAAAGCTAGCGGCTGATTTCACAGTCTTCTTTGCCGAGTTACTCCTCAACTAAGAACGGTTCTTGTCGGTATATACGTACATTAATTTGGAACTTGTGTACTGAACGTTTTATTGTCTGTCATCATTGGTTGACATCATGTAAATTTCTAATGTAAGCATCGTTTTGGCTCCATCCGTGACTTTTATAAATAAAAGATGTTTGCTGCCGACCGTAAACAAGCTTGAAAGAATGGAACTTTCTTTTAGAATACGATAGCGCCAGCCAGCCGTAGCCACACACATGCAGAATATAAACTGGTGACCCATGAGTTTTGTACTGTAATGATATTTCATGAAATGAGAGTAGGACAATCCGTACTAACGTTCACCATTTCCATGAGTACTCCTTAGATGGGGATTGAAAGGGGACTCGTCAGTCTCCTTTCAGTCCCACCTGGACCTCCCCACGCCTCACCTGTCAACTCAGGATCAGCTTCCTGGAATCCTTTAAGGAGTTTGGGACGTGACGCCATAATCTGACAGCGCAGCTCGTTGATGGCCGAGAGCTCCATACGCCCCACACGCTCCCGCAACGTCAAGTGCTTGTTCCTGCAACACAAACGCGCTGGGTTATGTGCTTGTTCCTGCAACACAAACGCGCTGGGTTATGTGCTTGTTCCTGCAACGCAAACGCGCTGGGTTATGTGCTTGTTCCTGCAAAGCAAACGCGCTGGGTTATGTGCTTGTTCCTGCAAAGCAAACGCGCTATTATGTGCTTGTTCCTGAATCGCAAACGCGCTAGGTTATGTGCTTGTTCCTGCAACGCAAACGCGCTAGGTTATGTGCTTGTTCCTGCAACGCAATCGACCTTGGTTATGTAAATGCTTCCAAAATTTATTGACTTGTTTAATTAATAATTTTTTGGCGAAATTTGTTTATACAAAGGGAATTATAGTTCTTAGTATTATCTTCATGTTATGATGGTTGTATTTATTGAGGTACTGCTGAAGCCTGATAAAAAGCGTTCTTTTTGTTTCTAGACCATAAAAATAGATTGAAATATAGTATCAACATGCAATTAAAATATTCCGTAGTCAATATTGCGCACAGAAATATTAAACCTGACGTAGTAATAAAATCACAAATTGTGAGGCCAGTCCTTTGCGCTTCCATTGCATAAAGTTTTTCCAAATCAACTATTTTCTGATACAGTACAAGAAATTTTTCATGAAGATTTTTCCCAAATTATGAGATCCTAAGAGTAGTAAAACGCGTAAACAAGAATTCATTACATATATAAAGAAATAATTGTTAAACATATGACATGATGATTTGAATAATAGTTTCGATTTTTGTTAGCTGCATTCAACTGTAAGAAACGAAATCCAACGAATTTTCGATGACGGCGTATGAAACATTTACGTTTTGCATGAACATCGCGTAGAATCTACCCATGAGACTAAGGCAATACTGGGTCGCTATTTATTGCACAAATATTATAGGATGACAGCCCGTGTCACATGAGATATTTGTTCCCGCAACGCAAACAAGCAGGGGTCCGATGTTTGTTCCTGCAACACAACGCGGCCGGACACAAACATACGGATGCTGGCTCGGGTGGATTGCAAGGGATGGGATTGAATGAAAAGGATAGATCGCAGTAGACGAATTGGATAAAAATGACTGCTGACAGTATATGGGAATGGATGAAATGGGTGGATTGCAATGCATGAGACATTTTAAACCAGACTGATTGAAGTAGATGGAACTGAATGAGATGGATGAATTGTAGTAGATAGGGCTTTATTTGATAGAAGGATTGCAATATATTTGTCTTGATGGACTGGATGGATCGCAGTACATGAGGCCGGATGAGGTGGATAATGATTCTAAATAAGTAAGGTTGGACAACAACTGAACGATTATTCGTCAGGTGTCAAAGAATGAAAAAAGGATAAATAAAATCAACCTGTTACAATAAGGGTGCTTATTTTGAAGGATTGCAATGAGGAACGTAGAGCAAAATAAAGGCATGTAGGAAACTAAGAAATATAGCGATGAGATAACATTGAATAAGAGAGCCAATTTTTTAATTACTTTAGCGTGTCTCTCAATTGGTAAGGATGTAAATACGTAGATTAAGAGAAATAAAAATGAAATATTGAAAAAATGCGGACTTTCAGTTGCCGGTTCAACGCTTGGTTAATTTAAAAGCGTCTTCGGATCGAAAGTACTGTAAACATCCGAAGTTGAATGAAGAGTTGTAAGAACACAAGACATTCTAAACCTAATGGATGGAGAAACTTAACGGCGCTGAAGCGTAGGCCTGATGTGGCCTGTCGCCGATTCTTTTCCTTTTCGTGACTTGTTCACAGAAGATATAAATTCATGTCATTTGACCGGATCTTTTCATGACTGACGAAAGTTTTTAAACATAATACCTGAAGCGAAAACCTAAATGACTTGGGCCCCACACCTGAAAATTCTAATTAATATCAACAATATCCTTGGCTATATGAGAGAGTTCAATTTTTAATCAGCAGAGGTGTCATATAATTAATTTTCTTTCTAGATCACTTGGTACACAGAAGCTACAGTGAAATAGTTCTTGTTTACTGCATTTCCAATTATCGTATACAATTTTTCGGGTCATTTTACCTTCCGCTTTCAAAATCCTACAAACCCGCAATGTTTTAAGGGTCGATCATCTATCAAATTAAATACTGTGGGTGCAAAGTTATGGTTATGCGCTTCTCACACTTCAATGAATAGTTAATAAAATAGTAGTAAATATTTATTAGTATACATAATAGTAGTAAATAATTGTAAATTTAGTAAATAAAAATGAAAAAAGAATAAATGAATGGGTGAATGATAAGCTAAACAATGAAGAAATACTAAAAGTTGGTGCGTAAATTTCTAAATTGCATTGAAAAGAAGATAAAAGGCGGTCTGATGGTGAAGAGGAAGGAACTCTTTTGGATCAAGATTTGTGATGTGATGGCTAGAGAAGAATTAGGGCCTATAAATGGTTGTGTACAATGCTTAAGATTTCGTTAAATTAGTGAAAAGGACTTGGATAGTTACATGGTACACAAAAATATTGGTTTTTACTTTTAAAAATTTTAATGATAAATTAAAAATAATAATTTTTGATGTAATTTATCAATTTATTAAATTTATATGTTATAAAGTTTTGAATTTCAAATTGAATAAATATTCAAAGGTTTAGTTATATGGAAGTTTTATTCTAATTGTGATTAAAACGTGCAATTTGTTAGTTAACATTGCTTTAGCCTAAAATTTACAACGGATTTTGAGACACGGCAGTGGGAAAACGGCATAATATGATAATAGAATAATATGAAAAGGGATTTCAGCTGATTCGATTTGCAAATATTTGGGATTATCTATCATAGATCAGCGGGAAGAAGTAATAGTTAGTAAAAAAAATTACATCAAGGACAGTCAGGATAGTGGCAGAGTCAAAAGTATATTAAAGTAAATAAATTCAAAGGTATAATAAAGTAAAGAAATTCAAAACTATATTAAAATAAAGAAATTCAAAAGTATATTAAAATAAATACATTTATAAGTATATTGAAATAAAGAAATCCAAATGTATATTGAAACCAAAAAATTTAAAAGTATATTGAAATACAGAAATTCTATAGTATATTAAAGTTAGGAATAGTTTGAAGGGAGCAATACTGAGACTGACTTGGTATCAGCGGTGTACTGGACGTAGTGTGGGGCGAGCGGGCGACCCTGCAGCTTCATGTACGCTCCTCTGTTGGAACCTTCCCCGTAGTAGTTAGAAGCTGAGAACACTGTTACACACTGCAACAGTTACGATAACACTGTCAGGCACTACAACAGTTACGAGAACACTGTCACGCACTGCAACAGTTATGATAACACTGTCACGCACTGCAACAGTTATGAGAACACTGTCACGCACTGCAACAGTTACGAGAACACTGTTACGCACTGCAACAATTCATGTAAATTTGTTTACTTTTAATGTCCAATTTTTCTTGCATTAATGATGGCATTGAGAGTGTACACGATTAAATGGAACAGAGCCTAAAAAGAAATATTTCCAACCGAACGTTCACATCATCGTCTGAAGCGAACTATTTGAGGAATTTAAATAACAATTATTTATCTCAATGGAGCATCGATACCTTTGTCTACTGACGGCTATAGTTACTTAAAATCTTAAAGAGTACAGCGTTCCATCAAAGTTGGATGCAAAGTCTTGTAACCTTTTGCAACATATTTGGTTAACCTATATATAAAAAGAAATTAACTAAATTTTGGGCTGAATACAATTGATGGCAATTAGTTAATTAATTGATACTATTATTTCAAATTAGATTTCAACGAAAGACTTATTTTAACTAAACTAATTAATAAATTCATTCAATGAAGTGGTTGGTTTCTGTCTTCGCCATCGGAAGACTTAACGACAATATTTCTTTCATTGATAAATATAGCCATCTTGTTTGACATAACTATGCCACTGAAACTAGGATTATTATAGAATAGAATAGAATAGAAATGTCGACATTAAAGAAAATAGGCCCATGGCCTGTTACCGATTTTTGAATTTTTCGTGACTTGATTCACAAGGGGTCCGGCCTTTGGAATCCGATCTTTCCATAACTGACGATTGCTTGAGATAGCTGCTGGACTTATTGCCTGGTCCGTAATTATGAACCACTGTTGGGAAAATTTCCCAACCTGACTTCTTCTCAACTAAAGATGAAGAACCAGAACTTTCTTGTTTATATAAATGGAGCCGTAGCTAGCATAAAGATTAATTAACGAGAGCTCATATAGCGCGGTCACTAAAGTTCCTTACCTACCTTAACTGTGTCGCCATAGTTTCCTGAATTATTTGCTGTTAAACTTATTATTATTTGTTGTGCACAACCCTTGCTTAATTGATCTTTGATTTGGGGTGCATGCTTTTTTCACTTCTATGTTTGATCACTTTGGCCAGCCAGCCAAACCCTATTGATCGACCTCTTAAATAACCTAATACGGTACTTGCGCTTTATTGTATGCAAGTCTTAAATTTAGAAAGTATCCTTGATAAATTGGATGCGCGCTTTAAATGTATAACCTTAAAAACTTACCTCTTAACTGAACTTAAATGGCCAAAGAGTTCAATGCTCCTTCCTATGGTGACGTTTATTAATTTGGAACTATTTTACATTAAACTCACTTATGCAATTGCTGTACAGCATCAAAATTCCACTCTGGAAGCACAGCTCTACCTGTGCACTTATTTTTCATTAAATAAGGTGAGCATTTCTCCAGTTATCTATGAATTGTGCGATACTGAGACTACTTAAAGCGAAGTTGTCGTTCCGGTGTGGTGTTAACTTTGTTCATTTCTATACCCAGTATCCCAACTTGAGAAACTTCGTACGTCGGCCTCCCTACTGCTCGCCTGGACCTTTCTTTCTTGAATACTGGGAGCAAGGACGCTAATTTGGGACTGGCTTCTTTGAGAAAAATAAAATAAATCTGCTTAATATTCAAATTTGTCTTAATACTTGATAGCGGTCTAACTTAGACATTTCTAGAAGAGGATTTCCTCCTGCGTTGGGAAACTTCCCAACACCACTCGCCTTGCCATCATGTGAGAGCTCGTAGCCGTCACTTTTACACTCATGAGAGCGCACTAGGAAACTCAGGTCATTTCTGTCGAGGAATTCACTGGTGATGTCGGGACCAAAATACGAGCCTCCGCCCCTGAAGGAGTTAGGCTCGCAGCCTGACGACGACTGGGGGTCGCTCCAGAGCAGGTCTAGGATCTGTGAGCATGAGGATATGTTCAGTTATGAACGAAGAATATGACTGAGGAATCTCATTCTGGTGATAAATAACTACAAAGATGATAGAATTGAAATTATAACAGTTCTTCCGAGCACATGCGCGTTTGTAGAGTAAACTCCCAAGAAACAATCAATATAATAAGTGGATCGGCATCCGTGTTTCTCAGCATTTAATATGGCCATAGAAGAACGATCATATATTGGTATTTTTCTTACTTCTATACAAGAATTTTTCGACGGGAACATCCATCTAAGTCTAATTTAATTTAAAATATAAAGTACTGGGCTTACGAAAATTACACTGCGACAATCTCCCCTCATTTTCTTATCTCATTCTATCGGAAAATTCGAAAGAATTAGGCCTACCATCTTGACTTGCCATTTTTTCTAGAAGGTATTTATATTTTCATCCCGTGGCGCTCGGTTTAACATGAATTTTTTCCATTCTTTTTGAAAGCTTTTTATGAATATTTCAATAATTTGTAGAGATATTTATTTAAGTGTGACTTTTCCTCACCATTTTCCACTCCTCCGCGAGGTCCGCCAGCCGACTGGTCGGTCCATCACCGGCGATTTCAGGATTAGCGACGCTGGCGAGGTCCAGCGTCGACGTCTCAACGTCGTCCACGAGCGGCACGCGCAGCACGCTCACGTACTGACGGGCGTGAACAAATATTAATTGATCGTTAAATAATATAATTATAACATAATATCGATGCAACTATATATAACGACGGAATAGCTACAACTATTATTTAATGATAGTGAGTTTACTTCTACATTGCTCATCGCCAAAAGTATGTCATTATGTACCGCTGTGCATATCTAAAGTAATTTATAACAGCTTTTAATTTCTGCATTCTTTGCGGAAATTAAAAGAAAGGTATATAAAATTACAATGAACTGCCAGGTTTTATAAAGGTTGCGGGCTTGCCAAATGCCTGAAGAATACTTGATATACATTACATTACCAATAATTAGTAACTGAAATTACTGCGGAAACAATTACAAATCAGAAATTTTATTAGCTTCGACCATCCATCATTTGGGACCTGCAACACACACGTACAGCTCATTGTTCCGAATCTTGACTGAACCTTATATTAATTAGCTAAGTCGTTCCAATAAGGTGGATGCCGATTGATTTCCCATTGAAATTTGCTCAGCATGGCTCCTATATTTACCGAGCGTCATGAGCGAGAGCATTTTCATGGTGGAAGAGTGAGCGCTGATGCTGCTTCCCAAGGCCCTATTCGGCAATTTTTTGGAAAATTGTATCCAAATCTCTTTGTAAAAGAGCTGATATATTTTTCTTGTTCCCGAGGAAATAAACTAATAAGATCCTCTCTGCCTCCCAGAAAACCATTCCGCATGAACGCTCAGATTTTTCTTTGACGGGCCCACTTCCTCCCCTGAGCAATCACTGCTTCGAATGATTTTTGTCCTCGGGATTGCACGGGTGGAGTTATGTTCGTAAGAAAAAGTTCAGAGTTCTCATCCCCTAAATGCAACATTTCCTTAGAAAGACCGGCCCTTGATTTCTGCTGATTTGGACGTAACGGCCCTGGAACCCGCCGAGCAGAGGGCTTGCTCAGTTACAAACTACTCACCAGAATTGAGTGTATGGAAACTACGAAGATGTTGAGTGTCTCTGTTACTGATTAGGTAGTTATTTGCCTATGTTTTTCAATGAGATCACGAACAGCATCAATGTTCTCCCCACAAACTGATGTGTTGGCCTGCCTATGAATGGGTCATCTTTGGTCTCATTTATTTTGCTTCCGGAACAACTAATCCATTAGTAGGTTGATGATTTTTCGAAGCACTGTCTCCATAAACTGGTTCCGGAGAGTCGATGATTAGGCTGTTCTTCCACCCAAGCTTCACTATTCATTTGATGTTAGACCTGGCCTCGATTTCCTCAGATGCCATGTTGGATGAACGGTTGTTACTTTTTCCAACAGCTCCCCACGTTTTTACCATTAATTTAATGGTTCATATGAGAACACGCTATAAAACACTGATCCAGGGTCGTTCTGGTGCATTGGCCACATACTTTTTTCATAGAATTAGAAGTTATGTCCATTTAATACGAATTTTTCGAAGCCTCCTCGTAGACCGCTAGGTAATAGAAAAGAAATCAGAACTCCATTTTCGGTGCACTCCCTTTACTAGATTTAAATTTAGTAATCGATATATGGGCTGAATTACAAGTTATGAGGCTCAGATTTATCTGCGTTCAAGTCTCATTTCAATTCAGATAGGTGAATATAATTTGAGAGCTATGATCGGGAAATTTAGCTGATAAGGTATTGGATGAGAATTTGGTTCATTTATGTTCAACGATAAATTAAAAATGCTACCTAAATTGGGTTGTTAGCGTAATAAAGTGTCATTAATACTCGAAATGTTCGTTTAAGATTTCCTTGATAAAAATTTGTCCTCCCACTAAAGCTGTTCAGCCTAATCAACAGAAAATTTTCAGGACTTGAACATAGAAAATGCGAAACTTCAGGGCAGACCAAATTGTCCGGTTGCGTTATTCTGTATTTGACATACTGAATCCCGACATCCCGAACCCCATCATCTCGTATTTGGTTCATAATTTACAAAATATATTACTGTCGTTAAATATAGATACGTTCAAGCCGGCATTAAGCACGGAACTCCTATCTAAGTCCCGTTCCGATATTTAAAGGAACCTTGAACATTTTTTTAAATGAGCAGTTGCCAAATGAAAACCACATATAAATTTTTAACCTAATTCGCTCCACCTTCAGCAAAGTCTCATGATTCGACAAAAAAAAATCAAGCTGTATTCTAAGGTAATATCTCGACACGATAATATCTTCCAGATGCAGACATCAAACACAAAAATTTATCAATAATTATGAAGTTATGATTATAGTACCTCAAAACCTCTCTTTGCCGGCTCACTAGTGATTTTGGATATTTACGCCTTTTCTAACTCAACTTGGAAACGCCGTTTCTAACTCAACTTATTTAATAGACATGGCTTGTCTATATATTAAATGGTACCTTAGATCTGTCCACCAACGCGAGCTTCTCGAGGTCCGTGTACTGTGAGATGCCTCCATGCACCACGAAGGCCGTGTTGTCGATCACTGACCCCAGAGGCAGGTAGCGGTACACCTCCTCGATAAGAGCCAACACTCGCGGACCGTGTGACCCCTGCCGCAAGAAAAAAAATTATATCTAAGATATTAACTACAGGTTAATATATAATATAATATAATATAATATAATATAATATAATAATTATTTATATCATATTTGTATATATTTATATAATTATTAAATAATGTATTATGATACATAAAACAAAAGGCATGATTAGTTTTTAAAATACACGAGCTGCTACTAGTTAATGTACTATCGCATGATTTATCCTTTGGTGCTTTTTTTATTAGGATGTAACTTCAATATCTTATAACCATCAAACAATGCCATCAGGATTGAATCAAAAAATAAATCAGGAATCGGTGAAGGACATTCCTTTTGAGCAATGCAACAATTTATCACGAAAGTCAAATTAATCACCGGCATTCATCGTTGACTATTTACTGTATCTTCAAATCTCCGCTTATGCCGCACAAAAATAAATTACTTTTTTTCGTGGGAATAGTGATAAAATAATTATTTTCAACAAAATTCGCTGTTAGAGATTATTATTTCCAGCTGCTTCAAGACCATAAAAAATTATTTTTTTCCAAATATGTTACCAATTTTCTAAGTCTCAAAATGTGTTCAAAATTAATCCAAAAATGATGGCACAAATTATGCTTCATATTTATTTCAAAAAAATTGACTTGGAAATTGTAGTGTAGTTATTAGTATTTTTTTTGAATTTATAAGATTATTTCGAGTTGTTCACAAAATTTCAGATTTTTGCTGTAAGCAAAGTCTGGAGCTCGCGGAAAACTTACGGGCGATTTACGGCCCCGGGGTAGAGGACATGGGATCCTTAATCGAAAGCTTCATAGCAGAACATCGAAATTTTTCCATCAGAACAGTAAATATCGAAGTCAACATAGTAGGAGGATTGCCCGATGAAAGAGTTTCAGGCAGAATTGGTTAAATATGATAACAGATGAATTTTCCAGCATGTTTCCATTTCTTTAACAACTTCGAATAATGGTGGAAGGTAATTGATGAAAGTGTCTGATAAAATGTTTTAAGTTGTGCCCCATTATTTAGATTGTCAAGAAGATGATGAGAAAATGTTCTACATATGTTTCGGAATACTAAAACTCAAAAAATTTGATGCAACGAATCATATAAATCATACTTTATAGGACATGATACACGCTTTGAAACCAAATATTTAGTCCCAACATGACTAGATTAGGTTTTAGGTTCTAGGTATAAAGTTTTATTTCTATCTCACCTTGAACTTTTTACTGATCTCCTTGCAGAATCCGTATCTGAAAAATAAATTTATATATGAGCCATTATTTTAAATTTAAACTTTAAAACTAAAAAGCGCGTTAAAGCTATGAAATAACTAATGCCCCTGTTCAAAAATTTGCTAGATTGTTGCTAATGCCCTTCCTTTTCCTTTGGTTGAAATATGATTAGGAATTCTGTTGCCATTTGATTGATTTAAAATTCGGGTAATTTTTTTGTCTGTACAATGACAATAATGAAATTTAACCTAAATTTCTTTTATCGAGACGATGTTGAAATGAATGTAGACTTTCCGAAAAATGGCAAAAAAAATTCAACAAATCATTCAAAAATTTACAATAATTTCGCCTAAAATTTTTAATTTCTGCATATAATAAATAATTAATTCTTTGATATTTTACCTGGCATTCATGACGAGGTCTTCGTGATTGCCTCGGTTAAGGAAGACTTCGTTTGGCCATACGAGCTGCAGCGCCAGCAGCAGCAGCAGCACCTCGAGGCTCTTCTTGCCGCGGTCCACGAAGTCTCCGTTAAAAACATACGGGTTCTCAGCGGACGGCAGTCCATTCTGCACCGTGCGGGGAAACTTGTATTAAATGTCGTAATTCTGTAACTTGTGTTACTGAATTACGTAAAAATTTATGCGAAAATGGTGAGGAGTATCATCTTTTTTCAGAGATCCAAGGAAGAATGAAGTTTAAAATATATCCAGTATATCATTTTATCAAAGTAGTTTGAACATATTTTAAACAGCATCAAAGCATTTTTTGCATTATTTATTACATGGTCAAGAGGAGAAACTTGGTACATATGTACTATGATCTTGCTTTTGTAGTTATTGTTATAAGAATCTAAGGTAAAAGACAAAAGTTGCGTATACAGTATATATATACCACATCCCAGCAAAGCGATTGTATTATTTCATGGTCTCAATACGCGAAAATTCTGCAAGTTCTTTTATTGAAACAAAATATTATATAAGCAGTCATATAATGTCCCTCCTACAGCAGGGAAAAGCATCAACAATTTATAAAATTCCAAAATTTCACGCCATGATCTGAGTGAAGTGGATAAGCAACACAACTCTTACGAACACTTATCACTTGCGTAATGGAATACTGATTCAAAATCTAGAAAAAATATTAAGAGCATATGAAATTGAATAATTCCTGAATATTTATTAAACATTTATTTAAATAAATTTGTGCAGTAGCGAATAATGATAATTCGTCCTTTAAGTATCGCTCAAACTAACTTTATGTGAAAAAAGCAAAAGCGGCAATTGCAATTGTTGCAAGTCAAGATAATAAAACATAATGAGCGATTTCCGTAGGTTTTCATACGACATCTTTATTGTTATCAGTTTTTTTCTCATTTTTATTACATGCATAAGAGTTTATTTCGTCCGAGAAATCACAATAATTAAAATAATCCTGATTTATTCCTGCTGGAAATCAACCACCGCCAGAGGGGAAGATTTCGATCACTTTCTTGGTTATTTCAATATAACACAAACGTCTACATAGGGGTACAAAAGTACAATGTAATTATTTGTACCAATTATGACGGAATATTAAATTGTTAAATTGAATTCTTTGTTCATTTTGATCAGTGTCAGGGCTTGATATAGGCTTAGACTATATAACTGTAGTCATTACTTCGCCTCGCTTGGGGAAAAGTACCTATTTTACAAGTGGTGAGTTCGCTTCATACCTTATAAAGAATGGTGAGCATACCTTATAAAAATGGTAAGCATATCTTTTAAAGAATGGAGGGCATACCTTTTAAAGAAAGGTGAGCTTCATACCTTATAAAGAATGGTGAGGATACCTTATAAAGAATGGTGAGCATACCTTATAAAGAATGGTTAGCTTCATACCTTATAAAGAATGGTGAGCAAACCTTTTAAAGAATGGTGAGCATACCTTTTACAGAATGGTGGGCTTCATACCTTATAGCGAATGGTGAGCATACCTTATAAAGAATGGTGAGCAAACCTTATAAAGAATGGTGATCATCCCTTGTAAAGAATGGTGAGCATACCTTATAAAGAATGGTGAGCATACCTTATAAAGAATGGTGAGCTTCGTACCTTATAAAGAATGGTGAGGAGGTCGTCTAACTTGCCGTGCAGGTCCCCACAGATGGTGACCTGCCCGCTGATGGAAGTAGAGACCTGGTTTATTACAGGTCTTTTCTGCAGCTCGAGCACCGCCTCCCGCAGTAGCAGACACACGTAGCGCACGTGTAATGTCTGTAATAAACGCTATGATTATATATATAATTTTAATATAATGAAATTTATTTCTGACACCTGATTTTTGAAATATATAACGTCTTACGAATAATTTTTTGACTCCCTGAAAATTATTATCAATTAAATGCATCCTCCGTTAATTGGTCGAATTTTGGATAAACAAACATATTCTGCCATCTAATTAATTGTAATGTCTGTTATAAGAAAACACATTCTAACTAGTTTCATATTTCAAATATTCGAAAAAAATTAATTCTGAAAATGGGAAATCTGAACAAATAAAATATTTAGATGAACCTATTTTCGCGAAGCTTTCAAAACGGAATGACTTAAAAAAGTTTTATCGTAAAATAATTGAGTGGTCGTGTTGAGAAAACGAAATTTTCATGCAACAGAGAAACATATTCCGACAAGTCAATTGCTTTCCATCTCTAAATTCAACTAAATTCTGAACAATTAAAAAGAAAAAAAATATCCCAGGTAATTTAAAAGTTCAACAAATCAATAAGTGAACGCGGAGCGGATGTTCATTAAATTTTCACAATTTGTTCGTTAATGAGAAATGAAAGTCTAAAGAATTAACTGCATCGTCGGTTCAATCAACATTTTTTCTGCTACCACTCTTGGCGATATGAAGTCTGTATTTGGAATGCGCATGAATGAGAAAGAGTGCACTTATATATTAATTCAAAGTGCAAATTAATATTGAATAATGAATTTTTATGGTAAAATTATTCACAATTAATTTGCCCGAAAAATTCGAATGACTTTTGTCTCGGGGTTAATTTAAACATAGAAGTGATGAATAAATTAGCGGCTCTGCCACACATGGCTAACATGGAGTCTACATTGTGTACCCAGAAGATTCAGAATATCAATTAATATGCCAAAGGTGGAAATAAGAGAAATCGGAAAAAATTCCAGGTTGTATTTGTGTAATATTTTGGAAAAACACAATATCAACGCACAACTTAGGTTAGTTTTAGATTATTTTCTTTCGGCGCAAACTATAAAGAGAATTACACCTTTGATTATTTAATGAGAACGACTTGAGGGACGTTAAACGCGGAGCGATCGACTCGTGCTTAGTAATGCCCAGCCATGCAATAGCAATTAACTCCGTACTCTTTGACAAACAAATTTTTTTAAGTTGAAACGGATGAAAGTCGAGCTAAATGGTTGGACAAGTACTATAAAATGTTATCTTGATCAATGGCCGAGCGGTTTGATTAGTACAGGGTTGACTTAGAGAGAAGTCTATTCGGTAAATGAAGTTAAAATCTAGGTGTATATTGATAGATGTCCGGGAAAAACAGTTCAAATAGAAATCTTATCATGATTTTTTATAAAGATTTTATTAACGCCGGAATTGATGAGTCAAGGTTTACATTGAAATGCATGGCAGCTATTTATCTATCTTGCATATCTATTAAAGCATTTATTTAGCATTATGTATTTCAAGTTCTAAATTCGTGTATTCGTGTCATAAATTTTTCTATAGGAGCATATTCACGCAAAATCTTACCAATCCTAGAATCAGAAGTTTAATTATTTACTTTAACTTTAAATTACTCTTTTGAGTGTCATCTTACGAAAACAAAAGAACTTTACTTCTGGTACAACAGCTCAGCCATTTGTGCAGTCTTGGCTCTCTCAGTTACAGGCACTGTTTAATGTTAGTTCATATTATAAAATATTCGACAAGTACAAAATTTCTATTTCATTCCTGTTGAGAGCGACAAAACAGGTAGGGAGATATTCTACAGCATCGGTCATGTCACAGTATCTGTAAAATATCATTCTCATTCTTCTTTACTTTTTTTTTGCGTTTTGCAACTCTAATTATACCAATCCTATCCCCTAAAGTCCGAGTTCATATAAACGCAGGACTTCACTCAGACTCACCCTCTTTTTCTTGAAGGCGCTCACGAGGGAGTGGATGGAGTCCACCGTGAGAGGGAACAGCAGCCTCACTCCCTTGTAGGAGCTCTCCACTTGAATGTCTTCGATGGCCGCGTCCAGAGGAACGGACATCCGTGAAAGTGCGTCGCCTGTGATGTGGAAATGATGGAAAATAATCACTAGTGAGGCAATATTTCAGTGAAGCTTGAATGACATATCCTACATTTTTTTAGAGATTATTTGCGTGAAACTTTAGGCATGAAAAAATTATTAAAATCTACTCTTATGCATCATTATAAATCAAGAGAAGATTTTAATAGCAGATCAGGACTCAATGTTGATATTTAAGTAGAGTTAGAGTGTCTCAGTGACCTCAACGGTTAATAAAGTAAGGAAAAGTACGATTAGAGTCCCAAACGTAAATATTTCACAGAAACATCTAATAAATGTGTAGCCACAAAGACCTACTTTGTGTAGGCGAGTGACGTGGCGACATGGAGGCTACGAGGCCTGATGCTGCGTCGTGTTCTACGTGACGGAGTAGCGCGTTGAAAAAATTGTGCAGCTGCGAATGTGGAAAAAACGTTTAATAAAATAATATTATTCATGTGATGAGTTTTAAAGTTAAAGAAAAAAGAAATGCCAATTCTATTCACCGGTTCTTTTTGTAAAACGTTTTGATTACTAGCTTCATAATGAGTTCAAAAATTAGAGGATACAAGTACATTCAGCAGGGAAAGTTCAAATTAATGGAAGGGTTCAAAACCTCAAGTAACAAAAAACGGACAATGTAACATAAAAACCTATCGATTAACAATTTGAAAATAAATGGATGTGTTGGCACTACTGAGGCATGGTTTCCGCGCGAAAATATGCAGCGATTGCAAAATCCATATATCGGAACTACCAACGGGGAACCAAGTATCCTGAAATCGCAAGGGAAAATCTGAAAATTCCGGCTGTATTTCGATGAAAATTGATAAAATAAATTGGAATTGAATGGAAAAAAGTGCAATTTGATGGAAAAAACTTGACTGCCACCGAAAGACTTTTACTGAGGGAGTAAAGCTTCCTTGATTTGGTTCTAAGGAAAGATAATTTGCTTTGGTCATAACTATAGGTACCTTGATTGGTCCTTAAAAGACACCTTGATTTGGTCCTAAGTAAAGGTACCTTGATTTGTCCTAAGTGAAGGTACTTTGATTTGGTGGCAATCATAAGTACCTTGATTTGGTCCTAAGTAAAGGTACCTCGATTTGTCCTATGTGAAAGTACTTTGATTTGGTCCCAATTATAAGTACCTACTTGATTTGGTCCTAAGTAAAGGTACATTGATTTGATCCTGGTAATTTATACCTTGATTTGGTCCTATGTATAGATACCATGATTTAGTCCTAATTATAGGTACTTTGATTTGGTTCTAAATATTGAGACTTGATTTGGTCCTCAGTATAGATTCCTTGATTTGATCCTAAGTATAGATACCTTGATTTGATCTAGGTATTGATACTTTGATTTGGTCCTAGGTATAGTCACCCTGTTTTGGTCGGAACCCCAATAAAAATAATTGATGGAACAATAATGATAAGTAAATTTACCTTAATTTGGTCCTGCTCGCCCTGGTACTCGATGCTCTGGAAGATGGTCCAGGTGTACCGACGTCGCACCTCCAGACGGGCGCAGTATCTTCTGTACCAGCGCTGGATCAGCAGAGCCGCTTTTAATGCTGTGCAAGAAATCAAAATGACAACATTTGTTCAGGACTATTACAAAAATACACACGAAATAACCCGGTTAAGAAAAATTTAATCTTGTTATATGTTTACGCAAAATAAAATAGGGTTGTGGAATTTTATAAGGTTGAAACAAAATACGAGTTGTGTAAATGAGCGCTTATGCGAGCAATAAAAAAATTATCCAGTTATACATGACTGAGGCAAAACTAGCGCCGAGTCTTAGCATATTTCAACTTTTATATGCTCACAGAGCGGCGAATGCTTTCATTGTTTCTAATGTTCTGTGTTTATATTACGAAATGGGAGCGAGTTAGCTTGTCGGAACGAAAGAAGGATTGTAGTGCAAATGAAATCGCTGCTTGGAGAAGCTCATGGGCATCTATCAATTATGCAGCGGAGATGCGACGAAAAAAGAAATGAAAAATTCATTTTTATCCCCATCAACTATAGTCATATTATAATCATATATATTTTGAAACAATTCTCTCGCTGAAAACGGCATTCAGTATCGAACACTTTTGAATTGGCACAAAATTCAATTACGTACAAACTAATGCATTCTGCACACGTACTTGCTGCAATGAATGAAATGAATGTAATCTTAAGTACATTGTTATTAAGTTATTTTGGATAAGTTTTAGCGCAAGCTTGACTCTTCTGATGAAAATCAAGCCCACAATCAAGCTTTAAAGCCTCTTTGTTGACTTGATGAAATTTTTGAATTACGCTGCAGTTCCAGATTTTCAAAGAGTCAGTCAAGAAACAACTTTCTACCTCCATGCACAACTTTGATAAATCGTTGGTGCTCCTTTTGTGGTTTCTTAGACGAGAAGTGCAGAGTTTAGCCGGCTTCCCAAGTTTTTATTTAGTAAATATTTTGATGAAGTCCTCAACTTCTGGCCAACTTCTTTGAAGCCTTCAAAGAATTTATTGTGAAAACTCTTTCCATCAGAACGCGCAATTTAGCCCCCTCACAGCACACAAATATTTTTTATTTGCTTGAAAGTTTGTTCGTTTGGAGCCAAGCACCGTAAATATACCGGGATACTTTCGGCGTGTGACCGGGCGTTCCAAACGTCAACGATGTTCACCACAAAACGTAAGTCACGGACGTTAGATGTAGTAGTTCTTTTAAAACTATTGGTGTAACAAAACACAGTTTTCCAGTCAACACTGCGATTTAATACACTTTCATTTGACACAGACTAGAGCACTTTAAAATCGGGAACTTGACAGTAATAGTCTATAACATAGTGACGTAACAGGTGGCTAGTACGTACATACAGTCCAGTTAAGGAGCGGACACAGCAGAAACGTGAGCAGAAACCGTATCAGCACGTCAACTTGTCAACAGCTACCAAAATATTGGCCCAAACAAATAACTGTTGCTGATCGGCTTGCAGGACACAACTGCCTTAGCGACAAACTCAACCGCCCTCGACTCTTCTCTCTGAAGCAGAGAAGGTCGGAAGTCTAAGTGACGCAACCGGCCCCACTGGGGTTCATCAACACGAATATGTAAAATTTGCCACCCTGATAAAGAAATTGAAAACAACAATAATAATTAAAGTCTATAAAAATAATGTGAAGGATTTCTCAATCGTTCACAGGCCCGTATCTAATATACCTATATATGGTATCATAACCTTTTTTTAATGGTGACATTATGATCACACGGCCTTGAATGACTATTGTATTAAAATATAAAACGTTACAGTTTCATTAAATTTTAAATTGAACATTAGATTAACTTGCAAATGAACCCGAAAGTAGTTTATAAACAACAGAGGTCACACAAGCGGGATAAGTAAGTTAGTTTTTGAAAAATGCAAGCGATTCAAAAAATGAGTTCCATAATTATTCTGTTTCAATTATTATTTTGTTTATTTATTCACTCATATTCATCAATCTTTTAATGACCATAATTTTTACCGCACGCTCATACGTAAATGTCTCGGGACACTCACCGCTTTATTTTCAAATTATTAATATTTCGAGTGGGCTTATCAATCACTTGCTTATCAATTTCCATCAATCGAAAGCAAAACAATTTCAGCGGAAACTAGATCAATAGCGCTGTTAGTCAGAAAAAATGTTTGGGAACTGATCTAAATCTGTTACGGACATAGATGCATTTTGGATACAAGTTTATTGTGTTCGAGTTCAATTGCTTGAATTTGGAAATGGCTTATAATTTTTAAATGTCATTAAAAATAAATGGGAAGTTTCTCTGTTCGAGACTTATTACTGATCGAATGCAGGATTACTTTTAGACCTGGGCAACGTGGTAGGACGATGCAAGACAGGCTTGAAATACATCGAAGATTCAGTCATGCTAATTTTACGCATTGTCTGTTGGCCTGTAGAGCTTCACTTGAAAAGGCAAAAACTGAAGTCCAGAACTTGACAAATTGCAAGAGAGTTAACAACATTGCCTAGGAGATTTATTTGACTTTTAATATTTTAGATTTATTAGATTCAACAACATTGCTTAGGAAATTTATTCGATTGTTAATCCTACGTTATCATCGCTTAAGGTTTGAAATTAGATTGGTTTAATACAAGGTATAAGAACCATAAAAAGAGACATAGAAGCTGTCTGAGCTAGAATTCAAATGAACTTCGCAGTTTTAAAGCCTCGTTAGTCTATTATTTAAGGCCTCGTTAGTCTATTATTTATAGTCCCGTTAATCTATTATTCTCCGTTGACAAAAGCGTCAGAAATATCTTGCTCATTAAAACGATGTTGTGGTGAAATAATGAGTATAAAAATTATCCCTACCGTGCCCAGTTATTGAGCAAATTGTTGGACACAATTATGACAGTTTTGTGTACTTCAATAAGTAATTTTTTTTTTGCTCGCAAGTTGTCTATAGTCTTTTTAAAGTAATCCATTGCATTTATAGGTTCTATTCATGTTCGTATCATTATATGAAAAAACAAGTTATGGTTTCCAATCTAAATGTAAAAGTATTGAAATTATTTTTATACTAATCATTACCTACGATCGCATCGTGTGGTAATTTTCACATATTGGTGTTCACACCGTGTCTGCATAAACTACGTGCACTACATATCGACTGTGATTATTTGAATTTGGATCAAGTTCCTTGCTTCATTATTTAAAAAATCACGCCAAAACCGAATCCGTTAATTTCTACTAGTCTGTAGGAACTTGTAAACGTTTTCAAACATTTTTGTCTGAAGACTGAGACAAATATTGTAAAAGATCGCGATACTTTTCAATATTCTTGCTAGCTCGAATTTAAGTCCACTGCAGACAAAATCCCTGTATAAAAGAGTTCTGGTTTTGACAAGATTTAGGCGGTTTGGTCGATGTCATAGATTAATCACTCAAGTAACAAATCTAGAAATTAATGAAAAGTTTTTACATAATCATAGAAAAATCGTGAACAAAAAGGCACAGAATAATTCATTATCATATGCGCCTATTTGTACACGACTGTTTTCTATTAATTATAATTATTAGATTTTTCTCGTCCGTTGATTGTGGTTTGGAACTCAACAAAAATCTTATTACGACGCGACTGATTTTGATTTTTTGATTTTATTCGAATATTTCGAATGGACTTGATTGCGAAATTTCTGAAAAAATTGGAAGACGCTTGAACTTTATTGACAGTTTCTCGATGGAAATGACAATAAAAATATTTAAGCTCCACTATGGGGATAAATATACGTCAGTTGTTTGCACTGAGATTTTGTGGAAGCAAATTGGAATAAACGCCAAAATACTGAACTATAATTTTAGTTTACTCACGGATCATTGAAGTCAATAAGCTAAAATGAATGCAGAACAGGACGAGTTGACGGCAAAGTATTTCGCAGAACAGGAGTAATGAATCCATAATCAATTTCGAGATTTAACACAAAAAATGTCACGCGTTAAAATTAAATTTAATAATTAATATTAATTATCATTAATTAATAATTATCAATAATAATAACAAAATTTTGTAATTTTGCCAAGCGGTTGGTGAGCAGACGTGAAGTAAACTTATTGCATCATTTATTTAAACGATGCTCTTAATAATCACGGCAACAATATAGACAAAGATCAAGTTAGTCAGAATCGATTCAAATGTTATGGATTCAGTGCTGCGCCAGGCTACTTCTAATGGCCATTGAACACGCGGACCATGTTACTAATGGGATTCTAATGGGATTTGTCAAGTGTTTAGAGCGCTATTGTGCGCCTGAAATGAAGACCTCTTCGGGTGAATGAGAGCAGAAATTGGACTCGAATTTCGGAAGTTGGGAATCTATTGGTAGTTACTGCGAAGAAGGAACATGAACTTTAAATTAAAGAATGGAGGCATTCAAGTCAATCGAATTTCTGAACCAATGTTTTAACTGGTTCTTCACTTTAGTCACTAACGGCCTCATTTGTATTGAGTTAACTTGAAAAAGAAAACTGTGATCGAATTTAAATTTATGAAATTTCTGGTAACCATAAAATTTATAATAAGGAGTACATGAGAGAATATAGGTCAGTTAGTCTCCGAACTTCCAAAGATTATATTCGAAAACTCAAACGACAAACGTGGCTTAAATTGCCAATCCACATATAAATAAGCATACAAACACAAATACTGCATCAAGTGTAAGGAATCTGCTGGAGTAAATATATTCCAATCATATTGATAAGTTGAAGTCTAAATAAAATATTAGAGTAATTTTTGCTCTAAAATAAAGCTCCAGGTGATGGCAGACAATATGTTTGATAATTAGTGAAGTCACAAGCTCGAGTCTTTGTCTGATGTTGTGTAGGGTGCGTTGCTAGCGGCGCCCTTAGTAACGGCTTGCATCGGACATGTTAACGTAGAAACTTGTATGAAGAAAAATAATATAACTCAGTACTCACTGCAGTGAGTGACAGAGAGCGCATTTTCTCGACGACGAAAACGTGAAGTCACGGACGGACGGACACACGGACAGACGAACAGACAGACAGGCGGACATGACGAGC